TTATCATTACTTTATTTATTTCACTTTTATTTATTTTTCTTTGAGACAGGATTTCTCTTTGGAAATCTGCCTGCCTCTGCCTCTGCCTCTGGAGTAAATCCTACCAGCGTGCGCCACCACAACGCCGGCTTTTGTATTTATTTACCACTTTGCCGTTTCATTTTCTCTCTCAATCTCACGTATATTTTTAAACACACTGTAAACCTTTAGAGGTTTTCTTCATCCAAGTCTGACTTTACTGTAAATCTTTATGTTTTTCTGGCCACGTGTCTTATCTGTTAAAACCGCGGCTGTTTTAAACTGCCGTTTCAAGATGGCGGGCGTAAGCGTGATTTCAGCTTACCGCCTCAGTCCATGCTGACATCCAGCAAAAGCTGCCACTTCCAACTGTACGTACACACTTTTCAATCGTTAGCAGAGTCTCTTAAAACAACCTTGCTGTTTTTTTTTTGTTGTTGTTGTTGTTTTTTTTTTTTATGCCGAGTCAGGAAGACTCCGGTAAGCGAGCCACGTGAATCTCGGCTTGTCGCTAGCAAAACAGAGCACACCTGAGAAAAATGCTGCTACCAATAATCTGTGCTTCTCTCTGTTCTTCTGTTGCTAAAATTCCTTTAAAGCTTTTGTTATTTTGCGTGGAAATTCATGATCCCACTCCTGACACCATTCTGTTAAGAGAAGCTTTTTCTTTTGCTAGCAGCTTTGGTTTATCCCCCGCCAGTTGCCTGGGCTCTGCCGCGCCAGCCTGGTTCTAGATCCGCATCAGTCCCAAATAAACACACAGGACGCTATATTAATTATGAAGCTGTTGGCCTTGTTTGTCTCTTACTGGCTAGCTCTGCTTTAAGTAATTACTCCATAATTGTTAATCTAAGTATGTCTCTTACCGGAGAATTAGTTCCGGGTTCCTACCCCATGGCGTTACATGTTCACTCTCCTGTGTTTCCCCTTCCCAGAATCCTCCTCGACTCCTAGTCCCTCCTATCTAGGTTTTCTATTAGCCAGACAGTACTTTATTGACAAATGCACAGGCAAATAACAGGACTTCCCCAACAATTTTTACTCTCTCAGGTTTGGGAGTATCTCACACAAAAGCGTTAGAACCTCTGCTAGAGCTAGAGTTGACATCAGCACCGATAATATGTCACTGTGACCACTACAGAGCCTCTGAAATGAAAATCCTAGAGGCCCTCTCCAAATAGGATTAGGAGAAGTAGAAAACACGAGCCTAAGAGTTGGCACTACCAAGAACCCCGCTATTTTCCAGGGAGAGGCAGAAAGGTGAAGTCTCTTGCCTGAGCTTACCGGTCCCCGGCAACTGAGATGAGAGCTAGATTCAGGGTCTGAACTCTACAGGGTCTGCAGCAAACTCAGAGACTGCTCCAGGTAGAGCAAACCTCCTGCTGTCTTGGGGAAATCAAAAAGGAGCAGATGGCCCCTGATCTCAAGCCCCGTTTCTTTCCTGTTTCATTTTTCTGATGATTGTCATGGTCCCCGTGTGATGGCATGGGTCCACACTTGTGTGTTGCATACTCAGCCGCTTAGAGGCCGTTGATGACGGGATGTACCAGCAGAGCTGTGGATGTGGGCTGCACCCACAGGACTGTGGATGGCGGGATGTACCAGCAGGGCTGTGGATGATAGGCTGTACCCAAAGGACGGTAGATGATGGAATGTACCAACAGCAATCTAGAGAGAACCCTTCCTTCCCCACCCCAAGTGGTGATGTTGGAGAACTGTTTATCTTTCCACCATCTCAGATCTGGAGGAACCCAGAGACTTGAGAAGATGTGGTAGCAAGATAGAGGGGGGAATTTAGGGCAAGAGAAGAGGAAGAGGGAGGAGGAGGAAGAGGAGGATAATTGTCCTTTCATTCCAGTTGGGAAGTGCTGCCCTAGGGACCTATCACATGTTACCAATGGATTTGTTGGGCCATACAGTCCATGTATCCAGGAAATCTTTATTTGGTGGTTCACTGTATCTCTAACCCTTATAAGGGAGATGGTAGAGAGTAGACGCTCAAAAAATATTTACAGAGTGGATGAAGGGATCGAATTTTATTTGACATGGTTAGGTTTAGAGTCTGGTCCAGAATGACCTCAGTTCAGACCTGCCTGTGAGCTTTCTGCCTAGGTAGGCCTCTCCTCCCAGCCATCTGGGTGGAAGATGGGAAGAAGGAAGATGTCCCCGCTTTGGGGGTAAGCCATTGTTTGGGGTTATGTGTTTCATTAATGGGCATAGGCAGACCCGGGGCAGCCCAGGCTGGTGTGTGTGAAGTCGCCGGAAGCAACCTCACTCAGCAGTGTGCCTCACCCTCTGCATACACGCATCCAGCCTTCCCCACCCCGGCTCTCACCTACCTCAGCCACGGTCCGTGAGCCTGGGGTTTTACTTCAGCAGCAGCTCTCCAGTGTCTGCGAGTGGGTTTTATTTTTATTCCCTTGAAAAGCCTTCAAAGGGCTCTCTCTGAGCTTTGAGTTTGGCGTGGGCAATTTGAAACATTTAATGGGAATTGTTATTTTTTTTTCAAGGAAGAATTATTCTCAGCAAAGTCTGGGACTAGCCGGAAGGAGACAGCCAGACATCTCCAGGTAGAACAAGCTTCCAGCTGTTCTTGGGGAAATCAAAAAGGAGCGGGCGGCCCCCGCTCCCCAGCCCCATGCCAGGCCTGACCCCAGCTTTTCATGCACAGTGGCCATAGGGAAGAGAGAAAAGTATAAAACCAGACCAAACCTGCAAAGCAAAGGCTTGAAATGAAACCAACGCACGATGACAATACTCTGTTCTCTTTGTTCTACTCAAGAAATGACAGTCTTTTCCAGTGCAAAGACTGGACTCTGGCTTTCATCCTCAGAGGCCTTTATTTGAGGTCCCTCCCTACCTTACCTCCTTTCATTATTTCTGATTTCCTTAGAACTGGCTGGGGGGTGCGTGCAAACCAGGGCCTCCTGCCTGCTCCAGCTGGGATACCCGTGGCCTGGGGCTGGGAACACGTGGAGTTGGGCCCATGGTGGTTCAGGTGACAGGAAGGGACTTTTAATCCTGGCAGCACAGACTAAGGGGAGCCCAGGGAGCCTTGGTGCAGTTGACCTCCCCACCCCCCAAAGCAGGGAGCCACCCTGCCACTGGTTGGAAATCTGGATCTTGAAATACTGCGGTCCAGTCCACTTGGCCAAGCAATGCTGGGTCCCTGCACAGTGGGCTGAGCATGCTCATCTGGAGGTGACTAGGAAGACTGTGTTCCCCCAACTCTTCCCAGACATCCCCAGACCCGGATGACTCAAGAAAATGTTTCAGACTTTCAGGCCTGTATGACTCTGGTCACTGATCAGTCCTGCTGCATTGAAGGCTCCCCTGGCTTCCAGAGGAAGTAGAGCAGGGTTTCAAGTATGAAAGGGATTATGCCCAGGCATGGGATTTTAAAACCGTGATAGGGTGGGTGTTGGTACAGTCTGCCTCATTCTGCTTCAGGCAGAGCTGACTCCAGTCTGAGCACCTTCTGACTCTAGGCCTCTAGAACCTTCTACATGGAAAACTGTCTCAGCTGAAGGAAGCTGAAGAAAACTAGGAGGGAGCCCAGGAGGAAGGAGGGTGGCAGGGGAGTAGTGTGTTCACAGGGTAGTCCACGCAGAGGTCACTCTTTTCTTGCTTGGGGAGGTCACCAGTGGCTGTCTGGTCCCTGTGGCATGGACCCCCCTGCCTGGTGATGCGGGGTTTTGTGCATGGCTGGTGTTTCCTCCCTCCCCTAAAGAGCAGAGGTCCCAGAACACTGGGTTCCCCGGGAAGAGATGGAGGTGATCCCTAGACCAGCCCTGTCCCTAAAGATGTGCGTTTCCGTGACTGGTATCTCTCACTGCCTGAATCCCAGGCCACCACCCACGTACAACACAGAAAAATACAAAGGCTGCTGCCCTCCTAGCTGGGAATAGGACCTGAGAAGATGCAGATGGGGCGGGGCCCAGGAAGTCGGGTGGGTGAGCAGGCAATGAGGGCTGGAACATCCTGCCATGGTTACACGGTTGCATGGGACCCAGAGACTCCATCTGCCCAGGACCCCACCCTGCTATGTAGGACAAGTCCTCCTGGAGGCAGGGGAGACTCCTATAACAGACTGCTCTTAGCTTCTGGGGTCCTCTTTTCAGGTTAGCATCCTGCTATGAAATCCCAGGGAAGGGTGTTATTTACCTGTACGGGCAGGAATAGCAGCTAAGGCTGACAGATCCCAGAGCCACACTGGCAAGCCCAAGGCAGCTCATGCGGACAAGGGAGTTCAAGAAAAACAACGGGACACTGAACGGACCCCAGTACCTATGTTATTGTGTGGCCCCAGGACACTGGTGACTTCCAGGAAGGTGGCCCTGGCACAAGGTCCTGGCACAAACAAGTAGGCTCAGCCCTGCTGCCCACTCCATAGATCAAGGGCAGCGCTGCCCATCTGCCACAGAGAAAACACTGTGGGTAAATTCTTGACCTGGAGGGAGAGTACTGGGCCACAGAGATCAACCTGGGGGGAGGGGAATCACCGTGAGATCCTCCAGCGTCATGGTTCCGTGTGACATCAGAAGAAAGGGGAATTTTCATGCCTCCCCGGGGCACACTGAAATCCCTCTCATTACGTGGTCCTAGCATAACTGAATATCACATCGGGGCCACTGAGCCTTCGATGGACAGCTCAGAGCAAGCAGAGCAAGGGCAGCGGAACCACTGCAGGCACAGAACTTAGTCATCTGTGTATCCTCCATGGGCCCATGGAAAACTCCTTGGAAGCAGTGAGCCTGGCCATAAACACTGAGGTAGGTCGGATTTCACAGGGTGGAGAAGGTAGAGACGTTCCAGGGGAGAGGACACGGCGGACAAGAAGTAGGGGCAGCCTGACCTCTAGGCACTCGAAGCCCTTCCCAGTCCCCACAGACCTCCCTCCATCAAAGAGCTTATTGTGAAATCAAGTACCCTTTGCTGTCTGTGTGAACTCAGAGTCCCTGGTGGGCAGCATTGGGGTCACTCCGGGCTCCGCCCCAGAACCTGGTACGGTGACTGCCAAACAATGACTGAACGGCAGTGAGTAGCATGTACCCACCCAGGAAGAAGAGGCCGAGAGAAGACTGGGCAATGTCACACTGAGGCTGAGATGGCCCAGGGGCTCATCCGTGCTGGTATTTTCCACAGGTCTGGGGCCAGCCCGCTCACCCTCTAACGTCTAATCTCCCTGTCTTCAGATGAGTCACACGGGTCCTGAATTCCAACACCTTCCTCGTGTTTTTATGTAGGTTAGTAAAAATGCCCGGATCTGGAGCTCCAGGAATCTCCCAGAGAAGACAACAACACCCTCAGTGAATGGGAGCTTTCCCTTCAGAGGATGGCATGGAACATCACTTTATGAATGCCCTATACATGCTTTTCTACAAGAGGGGGTACCCAGCTAATGTCCCCCCTCTTCTCTCTCTCCCTCCCTCCCTCCCTCCCTCCCTCCCTCCCTCCCTCCCTCCCTCTCTCTCTCTCTCTCTCTCTCTCTCTCTCTCTCTCTCTCTCTCTCTCTCTCGTTATGTAGCTCAGGCTGGCCTTGATCTTGCTGTTTAGCTGAGGCTGCCCTCAAGTTCACAACCCTCCCATCTTGACTCCCCAAGTGCTGGGATGACAAGTGTGTAGCCCCGTGTCCTTACTGTGCCAGTGAGAACAGTCTTCAGTGACTAATCATTCAGAATTACAAGATAAGGCAGACAACCGCAGAGCTGCCTGGTTAGGGCATGCAGGCTGACAGGCTGGCCAGAGGCAGGAAGTTCACCCGGGTGACCTCCTCTTTGCGGGTGGCTGTCTCCATGGGTGCCTGATAGCCAGCGGACTTCAGTTTGAAGGTCACCCTAAAGCCCTAAAACTGGAAGCAGATTAGATACAGCAACAGGCTGTTTCCAGGAAGCTGCACCTCATAGAGCCTCCTGATGGCCTTTGAGGACCCTGCGGCAACTGTCCCTTGGGTGTTCTCCACCGAGAACAGGGCCCAGGTGTGAGGAGTCTCGGGCTTTTCTTGGTATTGCTGTCACCCTCTCCTCTCCTGCCGGTCCCCACAACCCCACCCCAACAGCCGCTCACGCATAGGTGGTTGCTGTCATAATGCCACCTTCCCCTGCGCGTCACCGTGGCTGGCACACCCTGCAATTACGGCTGCTGCTCGCAGCTTCCTATTGTGCCCGCCTCGCCTCCCCACTCAGAGCGCTAATTGCAGGTTGGCCCTTTGCTGCCGGAAGGCAAAGGCCTGCTCCCCCAGCTGCCTGTGCTGGCTCTTTCCGTAGCTTCAGGGGAAGGGCGTCAAGATGGCTTCGACAAAGCATTCCCTTTAGTCTTGCACAAAGAGAACATTTGTGGGCAGTCCAGAGCTTCCCGAACGAAACGGTTAAGCACAGTTAAGATACAGACTCTGGTCTCGGTGGGTTCAGAGTGTCTAATATGCTCCAGAGTATGAGGAATGACACAGGGGTGCACACAGGTGTGGCTACGTGGGGCTGGCTTGTTCAGGGCTTCAAGGACAGCTTGGGGAAGGACCTATCGCCAACCTGGGGGAGCAGGCTCCGGCGAACCCCAGTTTCAGTGAGAACCAGGAAGGAATTGCACTCTATTCTAGCCCAAAGCAGGTCCTGCAAGGAGAGCTCGTCAGAGTGACAGGGTCCCCAGAGGTCTCCTGCTACTGATGGAAAAAACAGCGTCTTCTGAAGAAAGGGCCCTTTCTATTTGTTCCAGAAATATTTGTATAGCACAGGGGCACAGTGCAGGTCCAGAGGCTACGGAGCAATCACAGCAGGCATCACTCTCCCTTGCTCCTTCTCTTCCACTGTGAGTGGGGGAGGGAAAGGACGCCAAATGACGGAGCTGGACGCAGGATGGAGTGGGCCATTGGCACTAACCACTGCGGAGAGAAATGAAGCAGAGAAGAAGGCTCGCAGGCAGAGTAGGGAGTGGCAGGGCTGTCAACTACAACAGTATGGCTGTGGAGACACACAGGGATTCTAGACGGATGCTTAGAAGATGGGTTGAGTACGAAGGGATGTCCCGTGTTTTAAGTAATTTCCAAGTGGCTCTGTAGGCTACCCCAGGGGTGGCAGACAGTCCTTGTGAATGCTGACATGTTGGTAAGAGGCACGCTCCGATATGTGCTTTGACTCTGTGGCTTCCTAGGTGGGACCCTGTCCACTTGGTAATGAGATTCCTTCTTGGTCCTGGGTCCCTGCTAGGGAAAGGATGATGAAACTCCTGCTCCATCTAAGCCTGCCACATGTGGCCATCTGTCCTCACATTCAGAGATATCCCTGCAGTGGGAGAAATGAACCTTGAGTCCATTGAAGAACCAGATGGGAACCTTAAGCAAACATTCTTCGTGGACTGGGCCCGGTGTATCCCGTAGCTCTGAGCCCCCACCTCCCCGTCTGAATCAGAATCCCACAGTTTCAAACCAGCCTTCACTTAGCAGCCTAAGGCCAGAGGCTCCACTTCTTCCGGGACCACATGCTGCTCACCCAGGCCTAACCCAACACAGAGATGGGGGTGGGGCAGAAGGAAAGGAACCAAGCCAGGAAGCTGCTGAAATAGCATCCAGGAGGTGGGAGGGTGGGCATGGTGTGCACCCGCACGGGGCATTGCTGCCCCGCTTCCCTGGAAGCCATGTGCAGGGCCTTCCTATCCCACTCCAGCTCCCGTTTCCTCTCATGCTGTCAGCCTGAGGCAGGGCCACCAAGAACTGGCCTGCCTGGAAAGATAACAGACCCCACGGGCCATGGCCTCTTGAGGAGGGAGGCCAGCATGTCCCCATGACTCACACCTGTTCACCTGGGTCCCCAGTCAATATCTGAGCTCTGTCTGGCCCCATCCCAGCATAGCCAACTCCAAGTGTGAGTTTGGTCATGAGTTCTTAGTGTCCCCTCCTCATCTCAAGGCTTTTTTGTGTCACAGACTTGTCCATAGAAGACCATTCCTGCCCTACATTGAACTCATGGTGAAATGGTGTAGGCTGTTCATTTCTAGGCCGCTGGCAGGCAGGAGGAGCACGCAAGGATGGGAGCCCAGTAGTGAGAGCCACCTGTCTGAGGGATGGCAGCCAGAAAGGTAAGGAAATTCCACAATTAAGGGGGGGGGCAGGCAAGAGGCCCACAGGGCCTCCAGAGAAAGAGGGGCCTAGAAACTGATAGGGAGTTGTGAGGGCTGATCTTACGTCAACTTGACCATATTACACTCACCATGGCAACACACTGAGGAGGAGGATCTACTATGAATGTGGTGGCAACATCCCATGGGCTGTGATACGAGACCGGATCAAAAGGAGAGCCAAGCTGGGTACCGGCACTCGTCTCTCTGCTTCCTGACTGCGGACAGTGTGACCTCACGCTCACGCTGCCATGCCTTACCTGCCATGATATGCTGTATCCCCTCAATCAGTGAGTCTAAATAGACTCCGGTTCTTATGTTGGTCACAGCAAGAAACTAGTACGGGAGAATTGTTCACAGAGATGTAGTAAGAATGTACCTGACCCCTTGTCCCTCCCCTCCCCTCCCTCCTTGCCAGTTTCAGGCCCGTGCCACTCCTGTCCTGGTTCCCATCTCTAGCTGTCATAATTTTTCCCTCAAGTACCTGCAGCACTTCTTGCAGCTCCCTCTGATGATCCTGAGGGGCATGCCAGCTCTCTGACGTGACCTGGAAGGAACTGGTGGATCCTAACCAGGAGCCACAGCGAAGCCTTGGGACTGGGGCAGCCAGCCTGTGGGAACGAGAGCTCACCAAGGGCATCCTCTGCTCTGTTATCTCCTTCCGGCCACATGGAACCCCTACTTCTCCACCATCTCGAAGGTGGCCTCCATGACTGGATGTCTTCTCCTTACTAACTCATTACGAGATTCGATTACGAGAGAAGAGGCCGTGGACTTGCTTATCTTGAGTGAGAGCTCACCTGAACCATGCTGATTGCTTGGGTCTTATTACTAACCTATAGGAGCAAGACCTGGGGACCCTAAAGAGATGGATAGAAGCCACACACACTCTAGGTGGGGCACTGTACACATAGCTGGGTCCCCAGTACCAGTCCAATGCCTTGTGACTGTTCCTCCACACTCCCAGGAGGTCACAGACCTCCCCGTTGTTGTGGTTTAATGTGAGATGTGAAATGCATTGTGTGTGTGTGCGTGCGTGTGTGTGTGAGTGTGTGTATGTGTGTGAGTGAGTGTGAGTGTGTGTGTGCGTGTGTGTGTGTGTGTTTTAACTCAGTACCCACTTGGTGACATTGTCTGGAAAAGTATGGAACCTTCAGGGGTGGAGGCTTTCTAAGGGAAGTGTGGCACTGGGACAGATTTCATAGCTTGGGCCCACTTCTTGTTCTCTCTCTCTTTCCAGACTGCTGCTAGCCTCATGGTTCTGACACCAGCCTTCCCTACCATGATAGACTATACCCCCTCTGGAGCCATCAGTCAAAATGAATCCTTCCTCCTATAAGTAGTGTCTGTCGGGGTATTTTTTTTTAATCTCGGCAACAGAAACAAAACTATGGCACCACCAACTCTGCAAGCAAGGCCTGACCCCTTCCTGCAGTTTGTTGTTCTCGCTTGGCCCAGGGCCCTAACAGCTGGCTCTCCTGCCCTAGCTGAAAGGTTCCACACAGGTGGATACACACTGGAGCTCTGGGAACTTGTGTGCTGGGCTGTGTCTATACTGTGTTCTGTGTCACACACAGTGCGGTCACTATGGAAAGGTCGTCCCCACTTTCAGCTGTTGGATAAACCTAGTCCCCATGCCTCCTCTGGGTGGGCAAACATGTCACCCAGCTATGGTTTCCCTTAGTGGCTCCTTCCCACCAGCAGGCAAGATCTCAGCACATCAAGGAAGCTGGCCTAGCAGGTCTCCACAACCATGGTCACAACTGACCGTAGTGTCCTTGTGCTGTTCCCACTAAGGGACCAGAGGAAGTGACATAACAGAGGACGAGCAGGCACATGGTATGGCCAGTGGGGAAAAGTAGGAATGGGTCTTAGCCAGACACATGCAAGCAGTCGGGTCTTCAAAGACAGGCAGTAGACTAAGTAAGATCTTTGTCATGTGTGGCCACTAGCTGTGTGTCCTGCATTACACGACTTAACCTCTCTGGGCCTCAAAATGGGAACAGAGACTTGCATCTACTCAGGCAGCATGGGGCCCTCTTGGGCTTCGGTAAGTGTTGACAGGGATGAAGGAAGCAGCAGGTGACGAGTCCAAGGTCATGCTACTGAGAGTCAGCAGGGAATAGATTTGGTTAAAGCAGCGTCAGTTTTCAGGCTCCCAGAGAAGTGGCCACCGCTCTCCCTCCCGTGCAGAGATCAATCAGCAGGAGCGGGAGGCTGTTAAAACCTACCTCCCGGCTGGCCAGGAGCTGTGGGCTGCTCAGGGTGGGACCTGTCCTGCCCAGGAGGCACTTAGGGCCGTCCACAGGGTGTGGGGAAGGATCCAGATGACCAGACAGGCAGAGCCAGGCTTGGAAGGTTATGTGGGCTTGGCAGTTCCCTGCTCCCTGTTGCCTTCCCCAGGAGAGATTTCTCCCTGCCTGTTTCACAGTCAGAGGAGGCCATTGGCTCCCCAGCTGCTGTGAAAAACAAGGCAAGTGTGAAAACAGCTTTCCATGCCAACTGGGGACCTGCTTCCAGGGGAGGTCTTCCCAGGAGGCCACCTAGTCACCGTGGCTCCTTAGCCTGGCTTGGCATCACACTCACACCTCTCAACAAGCTACAATCAGAGAGAGTGGTTCAGGTCTGGGGGTTGGGGGGATGGAGGGGTGGAGGTATTAACGATTCTGGCTGTGCACAGCATTGCGAGAGCCCCAGAACTATCACATCCGGGCTTTGCTGGCCAGTGGAAATCGAGGTGATTTACATGGGTTTGGTGAGAGAACATGGACCTAAATATGTCACAGTAGGCCAGGGAAATGCTGTGGTCACAGACACATCTGAATAGTTGTGGCCATTAGCAGCAGAAGTGATAAATATGTATACACACACACACACACACACACACATATATATATATATATATATATATATATATATATATATATATATACTCATTCACAGTGCATATCCTAGAGACCGGTCTCTCTTGTCTGTCCAGGGGCCAGGCTGATGGGGAAGCCACGGCAGTATTTTGGAATGTTCATGTCCACAAAGTCCTCCCTGAAGCTACAGTGCTAACAGTGGGCCATTAGGAGGTGATTAAGTCCCCAGGACTCAGTCCAGGTGTGTCAGATCTGTATGAAAGGTCTAGAAGGGTCCAACGAGGCCTTCTTTTCCTTCCACCCTCTACCATGTGAGGGTGTAGCATCAAGGCGCCATCTTGCCATCAGGGAGAAGGGCCTCACCAGACTCTGAACTTCCAGTGCCTTGGGCTTGGAGTTCCTGGCATCCAGAACTATGAGAAACTAAGTTTCTACTATTTATAAATTTCCTTGTCTCAAGATTTTGTTCTAACAGTAGAGCGAGAAGGCCACCATCTTGAGCACAGCTTCCATTTTGGAGGGGAGATGAGGAAGTGGTACAGTTGGTTTGTGATTGGAAGGAAGGCTTAGGCCAGGGCCCCACCCCAACCCTGCAGACCAGGACGACAGTCCTGGGTGATGGCCGGCAGCCTGCTTTACTCTGACTCTCGACCACATGCAAGCAGGAAGTCACAGCTGGGTCACCACATGCTTACAGAGCTTAGCTTGCTGACAGGCCTCCAGGCAGGGCCACCGAGGTGAGCTCTGGGTTCAGTTTTGATCTTCTGAGTGAAGACTCACACCTCAGTTACTGACACACTCATCTCATTAAAAACTGTCCCTAAGCTATTGCTCAACAGGGTGCTACAGATGTGATAATGTGCTATGGATTTCAAACGTCAAGAAGCAGGCTGCTGCTATCGTGCAGTAGCACAGAGCTTGCCTAACATTCATGAGGCTCTGAATTCAATCCTCAGCAGTGCACGCGCGCACACACACTAGGAAGAAAGGATGTTTTAACATTTTCCCCGTAAACAAATGATGAGTCTTTGAAGAGTGCTCTGGTCGTGCTAGTCAGCCTGCTTTCCTGTCCCTTACAACCCTGGGGGACCAAAAAAAGAAACGCTCGAGCAGTTAGAGTGGTGACTCAGACAGCAGGAGCCTCCTCCACCTATCCCCAAGCCAAGGAGACGCTGCACGATTTTCCACCTGGGAGAACGTTCCTTTCACAGCCACCCACCCACCCATCTACACACGAACTCACCCATGCATCTACACACGAACTCACCCATGCATCTACACACGAACCCACCCATCCATCTACACACGAACTCACCCATCCATCTACACACGAACTCACCCATGCATCTACACACGAACCCACCCATCCATCTACACACGAACTCACCCATGCATCTACACACGAACCCACCCATCCATGTACACACAAACTCACCCATGCATCTACACATGAACTCACCCATGCATCTACACACGAACTCACCCATCCATCTACACACGAACTCACCCATCCATCTACACACGAACTCACCCATCCATGTACACATGAACTCACCCATCCATCTACACACGAACTCACCCATCCATCTACACACGAACTCACCCATCCATGTACACACGAACTCACCCATGCATCTACACACAAACTCACCCATCCATGTACACACGAACTCACCCATGCATCTACACACGAACTCACCCATCCATGTACACACGAACTCACCCATGCATCTACACACGAACTCACCCATCCATGTACACACGAACTCACCCATCCATGTACACACGAACTCACCCATCCATCTACAGACGAACTCACCCATGCATCTACACACGAACTCACCCATCCATCTACACACGAACTCACCCATCCATGTACACACGAACTCACCCATCCATCTACACATGAACTCACCCATGCATCTACACACGAACTCACCCATCCATGTACACACGAACCCACCCATCCATCTACACACGAACTCACGCATCCATGTACACACGAACTCACCCATCCATCTACACACGAACTCACCCATCCATCTACACACGAACTCACCCACCCATCTACACACGAACTCACCCATCCATCTACACACGAACTCACCCATCCATCTACACACGAACTCACCCATCCATGTACACACGAACCCACCCATCCATCTACACACGAACTCACCCATCCATGTACACATGAACTCACCCATCCATCTACACACGAACTCACCCATCCATGTACACACGAACCCACCCATCCATCTACACACGAACCCACCCATCCATCTACACACGAACCCACCCATCCATCTACACATGAACTCACCCATGCATCTCCATCCATCCACCCAGCTAGTCAGAAGCCATTCTCCTTTTCTTCTTGTCTATTATACATCTACAACATACATTCCAGATACTCTGTCACCAACTAAGATGATGACCAAGATGACGTCACATCCCTAAAGGAGGATAAGCAACTACTGTCTCGCCTCTCCAGAGGCAGAGTAGATTTTCGGGAAAGGAGCCTTCAATGATGGACCTGCCTGGGGGCAAGGAGGGAGTAAAGAGAAAGCTGGAGGTGGCCAGACTGGGTTCTGCTAGAGAAACTGTAGCGCCCCAGAAGCTCAGTGTGCTTACTGAGCAAATAGGTGGGGCTATTGCGTGCAGCTGAACGAGGAGGCATTACTATATATAGGTAAACAAGGAGGCGGGTTTATGGTGCACAGCTGGGCCAAGAAGACATGTTCAGCTAATCTCAGAAAGAGCAGTCTACATAGGGGAGCAGTCTTCAGGCCGTAAATGCCAGGGTGGGGAGAAAAGCTGGTGGCGTTTTCTCCACATACTATCAGCGTCCACACAGGGACCAGAGGAAAGGTTAGCCGCCCCTCTGGGCTCGCCCCAGGTGAGGGATGGGAATGGAGGCATGGACATTTTCTCATAGGGCCTGAGACTAGTGCCCTTGCCACAACAGTGCCCATATCAACAGGAGATGCCCATTCCGGCCTTCACACTCATGGCTTCCTCCACTCTCCACAGGAGCCTAAGTAGGAGAAATGGGAATGAGGGGAATGGCCCAGAACAGCTCAGCTGGGGATGCAGAGTGCCAAGGTGGCTGTGGAAAAGTCAAGCTCTACCAGAGAGGACTCTGGGAACAGAGACTGAGGGCAACCGTGAGGGCAGGTGTGGGGGTGCCATGAGGGCTGTGCGCTGCAGGAGAGTCTGTGTGGTTCTCCCAAGGCTGCTGACCCAGGGCACCAGTGCCCAGGAGTCAGCCCCGGAAAGGAGCAAGTCCATGGAGACCTGTGCAGGCAGAATGGCATTGTTCGCAGACAGACCTGCCATGTCTGTTACTGAATCATATGGCTAATTACAAGTTTTTGCTTGTTTTCATTCTTGTTGCTTGTTTGTTTGTTTTCTGAGACAGGGTTTCTCCGTGTAGCCCTGACTGTCCTGGAACTAGCTCT